GTTTTTAAAAGATATCACCTCATTTCTTAAAAAAAAACACAACCTTTTTGAAAATTTCAAGCAAAATAAGAACTCTCAGTTGTCCAGATGGACTAATACAAACAGCAGCTTCAGTGTAACTCATGCATAACAGACTAGAAGAAAATGTTTGATCCATAAACATACCTTTTTTTAAATCTCCTCTATATGGAGGCCAGGTTTTAATAGTTGCAGTTTAAATTTTGATTACTTATTCAATACCTTTGCTTTTAACCTTTGGTTATTCCACACATTGTAAAAACTCAAGACTATGTTTTATTAATTTTAAATTATTTTTCCAAACATTATTGTTACAACTAAGTTTCTCATTCATCCACCACACACTGATCTTAACATCATTCTTTTATGATTTTTTTTCTATTAAACAATTTTAGCATAAAACAAAAAGACATGTGATTGAGTTGTTTTATGCTGACTCTATGTTCGAAAAAAGGGGAGGGGGAAATATCCACCAGTTTTAAATAATTAACCAAGATGTACATGTGTTTATACACTTTCTGCAGTACACAACACAAAGGCAATGCAACCTGTCTCTTACATTCATTAACAAGACAGATACAGCTTGTTTTTCCATGTTAGTAAAAGGAGACTCATCACAGCTTAGCGATGATAGTAACAGGGTGTTACATGGAGAGACTAAAATACCAAAGCTCTGCAAAATGATATGTTAATGCATTCTGCTTGTTGCCTGAAAACGGGCAGATGTTAAGAGCAGGTGTGAACCAAATCTTTCCGCTTCACTCATTTAGTCTCCACAGAACGGGAAGGACACTATTGCTGTGAAAAGCATTAGAAATAAATCCCTTCACTCACACTCAGGGGGTCCAGTAGCTGTTCGGTATTCTCTTTGCTTAATTTACTTTCAAAATCTCTTACCAGATGAGTTTGTCATGAAGCTGTCCATCTTGCTCTTGGGAAAAAGAGGAAAAAGCTTAACAACATTAACCAACATTAAAGAAATAAAGCTTGGGAATGTACAGTATATCCTCCATTTAATGATTATCATCCTAATTTCATAAACCTTCAATGCCACCTTACCAAGCCTTTATGAGACTTTATGAGAGGAGATTCTGCAACAGTTTCTTCCCCACTGCCATCAGACAGCTGAACTGTTGAAAAAACATCTGTGAATCATGTCACAAACTCTGCATCACACTGATAAAACCAAACTGCATATTATACTGCATTTTATATACTGCATATTTGCACCCTATACCGGTATATCAAGGCTCTGACTTTCCATATCAATGCATTTTTTGCACCATGTTTTTTTTTCCTCCCACACTGTTTACATTTGATCAATGCTGCACTATATGTGATGAAAATGTTCATTTACTGTCTGGAAAGCTGAACTAAATGAAATTTTATTTTTTTGTATACACTCTGTGTATACAAAAAAATTTAATTTCATTTATTTATTTATATTTTAGCACTAACCTTAAGAAGTTCATTATTTTATAAACAACCAACATTTAAAGTATTTACAGATAAAATAGTTATAAAGGCATACTGTATTTATATGTTGTTTATGTAGGGAATATGTGTATTCAAGTGCTTAAATAATCAGCCTTGCTAAACAAAATCTGTGGTTGGGACCAACACTACTACAGACAAGGTGATTGATTGCTGCTGCGCCACAGCTCAACTAATCAGATGTCAGGTTTTACTTGATGAGTCCAAGAGTAAGTTTAATTTATGCATCACCTAGCACAACATATAAAATGCAACTTAGTGAGTACAATCTGGCATTGTTCTACTTGATTTTGCCTCATATTAAAATTCAACTTTGATTATTGTTTTAGGAAGTGAGGTTTTCTGTTGAAATATATTTTTTAGTTTAATGATCATCTAAATATTTTTTCAATAAAAATAGCTACTGGATTCAACTTTTTTGACTGAGCTTTCAGCAGAACTTGCTAATACACATAACTAGACTAGACTAGACTAGACTAGAGTAAACCCATTAAAACTGAGCAATGTGCTCATTTTTTAAATAGTTGATTCACTACCGGCAGTGCTTTTTTTTTCAGTATAAACTGAGATTTCTATTTGCATCCTCATCCATCCTCTCCTTTCTTTCTGTCTTTTAACAAAAAGATGAATTCTGTCTATCTATAGAGGTTGCACTCTGGATTTCTTCCATCTGCAGCATTCTTCACTTTGGGATTACGGCTTGGACAGCTGATTGTTCCATTTTTAGTGGGAAGACAAAACCATGAATGGACACAGGTGGCGTCTCATCATTGCATCTCGGTAGAATTTGCTGTATTTTGGTGGGAAGCCCATTCTTTCACAAATGTTTCAACAAACAGCCTGCATGCTCGGCCACTGCATTTGACTCACTAAAGACCATGGAAGTGATTGAAACAACATGACCTCCATGTTATTCTGGTAGAGTATTTCCTTAGGTACTGATGACAAAATTTCAATCTGAAAAACTGACACAGAGAGAAAAAACAATTAGAAGAACTTTATTGATACAATTACTTGGTCTTTGGCGCTCAGACCTTGGAGGCAAAAATAGCACTAAATTTTGATTGATATGCATGAACAGGTGTAAAGAACAGGACTGTTTCCCCCTGAGCCTGAAACTGGTGGTTGAGTGGAGATAGATGAAGTTGGTCAGTCTGTAGACTGCTGGTTAGTGAGATGGTATGCTGAGCTTTATGGGGAGATCCAGTGGACTGTGTGAGCTGATACTAAAGCTTCATTCAGGGACCTGGAAGATGGAAGTCCAGTTTGGATAACACAGGTTGAAAGAACCTGTCCATGATGAGCAAGCATGAAGTGACTGTGAAGAGGAAAAACTCCCCATTGGGAAGAAACCTCTGGCAGAACCAGGCTCAACATGACGGTCTTCTGCTGAACCGGTTGAAATGAGACGTGGACTGCAGTAAGAGTCAGGGAGGAATAACACTCTGAGAAAGTTTTAGCTATAATGGTGGAGGAGGGGCTGGAGGTGGGTTGAAACGGGGTTGTCTGAATGAAGTCACACAGAGCAACCACAGCCTGCGCACTAGGTAGGAAATGAGTTGCGGATCGGATGAACTTTGGATACTGATTGGCTTTCGTAAAGGGTGTGGTTCAAAGCTGATTGGCTGTGTCGTAGGTAAATGAAGGCGAGTAATCAGTTTATTCAGTTGAAGTTCCGCCTAGGCTCAATGTATAAAATCATAGAAAAGCATCATGCATATTGAGGTAACTTATAAAGAACAATTCTTGTCATAAAAAGTGCTTTAAACTTTAGCCATAGTTACCCAATCACACTGATTACCATGCAAACACTCACTGAAACACTGTTGATATGGGATTAAGTGGCCTGGTCCAAATTGACATGTGAAATGGGTAAGCTGGAATCAAGCCCACAACACAGAAGGGTACTGTACCTACTGAGCCACATTTGCCTCATTGCATGACAGGTCTTTGGACTGGAAAATTCAAATTTGGTGGTAATGCTATGCTTTATCTTGAATGATAAAGGGAAAAATGTAATAGGTTAAAGAGCTGTAATTTACTAATGCTTAATATTTTTTAACATTTATTTAGGAAATTCTCAGCTTGAACTCACAATCTGGATAAGTTTAAACAAAACCAAACTTTAAACTATACCTGCAGGAATAAATAAGAGTGAAGAATGAAACTCTTTTTAATATATGTTTTCCCTCATTCATTCATGTTTTACAAACCAAAAGCATGATCCAGACCAAGAATGATTAGTGTACAGTATCTCACTTGGATAGTTATTTCTATATGTGTGATCATTTTAAATGTATCCCTGTCCTGCCTTGTGGTTCTGTTTGGTTTCGTTTCTTTGTATTTTGGGAGATTTGTATGTATTCTGCTGACACTGGTCCCATTTTCAATCTTTTCTCTCTTTTATGGTGATTTTCATCCCTTTACAGTACTTTAATCAGGAAGTGTGGATTCTTAACAAGTATGCTTTTCTTTTAGAAGAGCCCCGATTATTATTTATATCTCTGGAAGAGTGTCTACTGTGTGAGTTTCTCACTTAATTTTAAGAATCTCATCTCATCATCTCTACTAAATGAGTAAATACTTGACATTAATTTGTATGTAATTTGAAAACAAACAGCAGAAAGTTTTGCAGAAGTTTAAACAACACTAGATTCTATTCTATTCTATTCTATTCTATTCTATTCTATTCTATTCTATTCTATTCTATTCTATTCTATTCTATTCTATGCCTAAGCCTTTGTATCACACAAGAAATAGCACCACAACAACTTTAAAGAGCAACACAGAACAGAATCGGACACCAGAGAAAAGAAGAGTTCAGTACCATGGACAGAGCCCTGGGCCTTTGACGATCAGACGACCTCTGATTACGAATTGTGCAAATTGAAGCTATGCCTCCTCAGCTATAGTAACCCCCCCTACACATACATACACACCCTTCCGGTCCTCAGGACGCCCTGACATTACTTTTTAATCTTTAAATAAGTCAGCATAAAACGTGACAGAAAAAAAAAAAAACATGTTCTGCTATGTGTTTGAAGAAACTATCTGAATCAGGTCTTTAATGAAACATGAAACGATCGAATGGAAAAAAAATAATGGTGTAAGTTTTTAAAAACATTGTGTTAATTACCAACACAATAGATTTGTCTCATAACTATACCACGATTTCTCTAAAACATAAGAAGAAATACCCTTTATGAATGTTGTAACATTTCATTTCAAAATAATAGTCCAAAGCTAGTGAGAACGTCCACAGTGGCAGCAGAAATGGGGTTCCCACGTATTTCCTCGCATGGCAAAAGCCATATGTGCGTGTTCCGAAGCTTCTATCGTAATCTTTCACTATGTATCCCTCTCCCGTTATTATCCAAGCCCACACTCTCAGTCTCTCTCCCTCCCCTCTGTTTTCTCCACCTCCTCCTCCTCTCTTTTTGCGCACCAGGCTCTCCCACACAGCTCCTCCATTCGCTCACTGCGCTCTCATCCTCGGCGTGGCTTGTGTCTCTGCCTACTCCTGTGCGTAAGAGCGCACAGATGGATATGTAAACGGATGCACTCCTGAAACCGCGCAATGAGAGCTGGTGAAAACGCCTCTGGAAGGACGTACAAAAGCGAACATCAATAAAAAAACTGGATAACTCCGATCAACTAAAGTTCTGTCAACGGATATATATATATTTTTAATTACTGTAATATCGATTGGCCTTTTCCTTTCCATTCCTGTCTATTATTTTCTTTTGTTGGGAGATGATCTGTTGATAACGATGTCCATCAGCGCGGATGACGGTGCATCGCTCCTTGGCTGCATGTTTCTGGACATCTCCCCCTGTCATGATCGTGCGCCTTCCCCCGTCTCTCAAAATAAGCTCGTTTCTGTGTGAAGTTGATCGGAGGAAGAAGCGCGATGAGAGGGAAATTCTTTCTGCTCGCTTTCTTATTGCTTAAACTTATGGCTCTCGTGTGTAAGGCCGACGGGGAGCCAGGACTACTCGGGGGATTTGTCATGATTGCCACCTCTAATGGCACCCGGGAGGAGGAGAGCGTTTCGGAAGAGACGCCTCACACCGAGGACAGGTGCCGAGGCTACTACGACGTGATGGGCCAGTGGGACCCGCCGTTCATCTGCAAGACGGGCAATTATCTGTACTGCTGCGGCACCTGTGGCTTCCGCTTCTGTTGCTCGTTCAAGCACTCGCGGCTGGACCAGAGCACCTGTAAGAACTACGACACCCCGTTATGGATGAAGACCGGGCAGACCCCCTACAAGAAAAGGAGCCCAAACGACAACAGAACTAAAGACAAAACGAACTTAATCGTTTACATCATCTGTGGAGTGGTGGCCATCATGGCACTGGTTGGGATTTTCACGAAACTGGGATTGGAGAAAGCGCACCGGCCCCAGAGAGAGAACATGTCCAGGTTAGTGCGTGTGTTTACACAGGCGGTTGTAGCGTAATTACGCACTGAGCACCCACTCTAAGATTCCTTATCTGTCCATTGACTCCATTGAATCCAAGTGTCCAAACGATGGGCACCCTTTGACTATATCAGTACCCTGACTTCTAGCTCAGAATAATACATTAAAACTTTTATTTTTGTCCATTCTCCTTGTCCAAATTTGGCCAAAATAAACTAATTGCAACTGTTTTTGCCTTTTTGGTTTTCTATTACCTTGACAGAATCGTTTTACTGTAAACATTTTTATCCAAGACCTGTTGTTTTCCCCTTTCATTTTCATCCACATTTGGACATCACTTTGCCTCTATGTAGACCTCCTTATGTTTCTTTTACACATTTAAACATCAAAAGATGCCATCTTATATATATATCTGTTTTTTTCACATTTGGAAATCTATAGTTGTACTTTTGTTGACATTTCTCCTCCGCTTAACTTTTTAATGACCCCTGGATGTGGTAAATAAGACTGTTACTGTCATATTACTCTTTTAGACATTTGAACCCAGAAGCATTGTCTATCAGTAGATCAGTAGTCTTTCTGAGCATCTTTTAGTTAACTTTTTTATGTCTCATCCGCTGAGTTTTGCTTAAGGAAATCATTTCAAATAAACTGTCTCAGATATTGTCCTCCTGCAGACAACCAGTACATGATGTGATATTTTTGTAACAGAGGGCAATTCTGCATTGCTTTTTCATATTAATCCATAAATAACTGTAATTTACAGAAACAGCTACATGCTCTATTGTTCGTCTACTAGACAAAGACAACAGCTTCAATGTACCTTACTAGGTGTAAATGTGAAGTGAATGCTGTAAAGATCATATTTCACTTTTCCAGTTTGGTGCACTACACAGTTTCATGAAGAAATGCAGCCACAGAGAATAATTGGATTACCTATGCTATGCGCACAGCTTCTTAGCTTGTACCTCCATCCTCTTCTCTCTGACTTACAGGGCCGTCGCCAGCGTGCTGCAGGGTGGGTGTCCAGGTGAGCCTTTTCGGGGAGAGGAGGCCCTAGGGATGCACTCACAGCACTTTGTTGCCAGGCCTGCAAACATCCGTGAGTTTTTAATGTTCCCCCGGAGATGTGCAAAGCTCCTCTTGGGGGCTGCGCAATAATGTGAACTGTGTGTGTAATTTAGGGGGAGCATATTTAAGTGTGGGAGGGGTGTGTGTCAGCGAAAAGCTGTTAACTGAGAGTGTCTAGGTTGGTGGCCTCTCTGGAGAGAGATCTGGAGAGAGGCAAGGATGATTTTGAAATTAATGACTGTTCAGTTGGACAAAATTTCACATCCCTAAAATTACATTCTTTTTTTGTTGCATATTTCTCAATATTTTTTTTCAGCTGCTTTTTAAGTGATTCTTTATTTTGGCTCTCGTCCTTGTGATATAATGAGTCTCTGCAAGAGGGAAGTGGGAGTGTGAGCATGAGTCGGCGATGAAGAGCAGCTGCTGATGGTAGTGTGTTGTTTACGTGTTGTTTATTTTTTGGGGGGGGCTGATACAAAGGATCTGAATGCAATCTATTTCTGTTGTGTCTCGTGGGTCGCTACAGCACCAACACAGCTTTGTGTTTTTAGTAAAAAAGATCAAACAGATGAATCCATTGGGTAAAAAAAAGAAAAGAAAAAAACAACAACAAAGACATGCATACGGAAATATGCTGAGACCAGCATCCACATACAATGGGAACAAAAAAAAAAAAAAAAAAATCTAAACTAAGTAGGCACAATACAGGGATTCGCTCTAAAGTTGAAAATGATTCTGTACATTTTATGCTTAGACAACAAACAGATCTTGCCTTCTGTAAATCTGAATTTTTTCCCTTATGTATTGATAGATATGTTCTTAAGTCCATTCAACCTAAATCTAAATGCAACAAAGAGGCAGATTTTAATATGTCTCCATGTGTTATACAGTATTGATGAAGACAGACTTCTGACAGATTTCTTGGGTTAGATTTTATTTCTTCAAAATTAAATAAGTCCGATTATTAAACTAAAACTAATCATGATATCAGATGAGGACGACTAGGGGAAATGCTAAATATAAATACAACCCCCCCAACAGGAACGTTGCACTGACTTCTGTTCATTTCTATTCATTTTAACGGCCTAACCCTAAAACATTACCTAAAAATCTGACCGTATACCTGACCTAATTGCAATACACACAATGACTCTAAACCTTCGGCCCTATAGGGAATCAGTCCTCACAACGCAGGATATTCTGGAAAATTTGGCCTGACATTGTAATAAATGTTAGAACCCCCCAAAAACCAATCAGTACCCCCCCCCTCACACACAGACACCCAAACCTGCAAATCGAATAAAATAAATCACAAAAATAGAACCTATTTGACCTCATGAAGTCGGCTTAAAGTCTTCAAAACGCAACACATGACTCCCTGATTTAAAAAAATTCAAAAATAAATGAAAAAGAAAATATTGTACAATTATCAGTATAGAAAGAGTTACAAGCTATTTCTAAAGCACTCCAGAGAGTGAATACATAGAACGTCCCGGGGGAGGCCCTCCTACCATAATCACTCCAAGAGCTCATCATCAACTTAGAATGTCAGAGAAACAACCCAGAACATCTATAGCTCTGCAGATCTTATTTCAGAGGTCAAGATTTTACAGTAGCAAAGAGGTAGTGGACAGAAAAGGCCCATATTAAAGGATTCAGAGGTCAGAACCACTGCTGACCCAAAATAACAGCTAGAAGGTTTCTTTAGTTTAGGGTATATTGCTTTTTCATTTAGGATCAGATTATAATATAATACAATGTGTTATTATATGATAGAATAGAATTGCTCATCATTGTCTATCAGTGCAGAGATTCAGGTGTTACTGTGGCAAAGAAAAGAGGCAAAGGAAAGCTCTTCAATCCGACAAACACAAGACTGTAAGATATGAAAAAGAGCAAAAAGCAAACGAAAATCCATCAGATTTTATAGTAAAGAACAAAAAACTTCTCAGAAAAAAAGAGTTGCAGTTATTTAAACAACAGCACACTGTTTCAGACAAGTAAAAATTAACTTACATTATCTTTGATAGTAATTTAATTTCCAATTTTAAAAAATGATGGACGTGTTTAAGAAAGCAGAAAAAGAAATCAGTGAGGGGCAAACCTTTTTTTAAATAACACATCAAATTTATTACATTCAGCAGGTGCTCCTATTGACCTCAGTCTTTGTTAGATTTTAATTTCAGATGTTCTTTTAGACTGTTAAAGAGCACAGTGGAAATAAGGAGGTGGTTATATTTGCAAAAATGTAATAATAATGAAAATTATGACAACTAATCTAACTCAGCATGAAGCGCATCACCCACAGACACTAAGACAGTCCTGAACTGAAAGAGTCTCTCACATAAGGAGAGAGAAGAAAGGAGATTTTGTAAGGATTATATCCATATTTTGTGTGTCTGTGTAGGGGAAGTAATTGAAAAGAGGAAAAAATAAATGAGACATTCAGTTTTCCTGACATTCTTTTTGTCCTGGCTGTGGGAGAGATCAGTAAGGGATGCCATCTCTCCAACTGAAGTGGCCATGGAGGACCTGGCTGTGAAATGGCCATTTTTGTTTGTGCTGTGGAACATGTCTCCCCAGAGCTCTCAGGCCCAAATATAATGCCCAGGTTTGTGTGTAATCACGTGGGAGGTTGTATTATACTCCCAGAACTACTTTTTTCTTATCCTCTGTGATCTGCCAGGAGAATACCTGATTGCTCTACAGGTCCAGCTCCCACAAAGCCCCCCCATTTCCACCCTTTGCTTGCTTTGTGGGAGCCAGTTTGTCAGAGCAGTGATATAACAGAAGAGTTATATATCAATTTGTTGGGTGTGGTAAAATTACAGCTGTTCTGATAGTACAGTATTTTCTTAGTGTCTTTTGAGCCTGAAAACTATTTTTGAACAGGGTGGGATCAGCAGGCATAATTTTTTAGTACGCCGTCACCATCTGCAGGCAGTGTTTACTCATGAATCTACTTGTGTCTTTAATGCCTTAACATCCATGTTTTTTTGCGTTGTTTCACACTTGAACTGGACTTTTTATTTCTTTTCACACCTAGTGTTGCTACTCTCAATTACTTCCTTCTTAACTTATTGAGTTCATGCAGTTATCGTACCTCTTGTTGTGTGATCTTATTGAGGTACATTTACAAAATGTTTAATTTTACTAATAAATAAAGCAAAAATAAAGTGTTAAACATAGAAAAATAAAATAAAATAAAATAAGCAGACAGGGAGGCATGATTTATTTGAGTGAGATACCACTGGAAAAAATTCATCTCATAGTAAATGACTCATTCTCTTTAGTATTTATATAAAAAAGGATTCAATTGTATTTACATTCTAAGATCTACGATCATGTAGCAGTTTTTTTCTAACACACAAATTAATTATATTGAAATTGGAGGTTGTATATTTTTTGTGTGTGTTAAATTATGATAAAATAAACCGCAACGTCCCAAAACAACGCTTTCAGGTGCTATACAATACAAAATATTACAGCTTTCAGAATTGACCAATGCGGATATTGATCCGATATGACATCAGCACAAATCATACATACTTTTATCGATTAAACTGTGGTGCAGAATAATAGAAAAGACTATCATCTAATATTACCCAAGCAATCATCAACAATAGTGATGAAAACAGCTGACTCATTTATTAGAAACCAATGTGTTAAAGAAACTTTAAACGTAAGCAAATTGTTTCTATCAGCATGCAAATATCAGAGGTTTGGAATGCAGGCCGATAAACTCTATTAACTCTTTGTTTTTGGCTAATATCAGATCGATTTCTGACATGAATATAGGATTGGGAGATCCTAGCTACTCTCTTTAAACATCCTTGCCAAGGTAGCCGATGCTTGTCAAGGTCCCTGTAAATGAATAGTGGAAAATCAGGCCTGCCTAAATTATGCTTTCTGTGTATTTTCCATATTCCCTGGTTTTATCAAATGTACTTAATACATGAGATAGTCACTATATCAATAAACCATTAAACCATAAATCATACATAAACCATTATTCTCGGTATGTATGTTTATTATTAAAGGCCACCAAATCTTTCTCACAAATGCATATATAATGAACACTATGCCACATAATCTTCTGCTTTTGCCGACTTTCATGTCATCTGAAAATCAGAGACTTAGTCTGAAGCTCTAAAAGGCTGACAATCCAGTGCTTCTTTCACATCCAGCATCAAAGGGCAGAGGGGACAAAGACGAGAGAAATGGAGGAGGGGAGTCAGAATGGGGATGAGAGGAAGTAGTACAAAGGAGGGAGTTAGATGATCTCCCTGGCAACTTTCAAACTAATGGCAGCGATCATAGATGAAGGAAGAGCCTTTGTATGGGTCCCTTTCTTTGTTAAATGCATTTCAAAGGTTTTTACTCACTTATTGATATAAATTAAACTGGAGATATCATCTCTATACTGGCTCAAGGTTTTCCTCTGGCAAAGCTTGTGCCACTACCATTTGTGGTGCCTTTATTGCAAAGTGGCACTTCTTCCTAAAATGAGCCGCACCACGCAGTCTTTGTTGCTGCATTACCTTTGTACTGAAAGAAATTAGCTAAAATTCACAAATTACTGCACTGAAAACATTTTCAAGCTCAATAATGTTTTATAATTGTCAATGAAGGCGTCACATTAAGCGGTTGGCAGGGCTTACCACACACATGCATGTGTGGTACTGTGTTCACAACTCAGTTTACCGTTTGCAGACCTAATTACCTCTGCAGTTGTAATCACTTCCTAAACATTCAGAAGGGGGAGGATGACATTTTAATAGGCAATTGCATCTGAAAAAGCAACAAAAAGACAGATTTTTTTGCACTGGTGCAAAATAGATGCTCTGCCTCTGCAACTGTACAGTATGAGTAGAGAAGTGTGTGCAGCTGATTGAAGACGCTGCATGCAAACAGTATGTGTGTGCTGAGTTAATGTCTTTTTTTTATGTGCAACACATGACTGTCAGAAGGAGTTGTACATCCTTCATTAGCAGTGGGTGACCTAGTCTTCTGTGCTGTCATGCAAACCTT